CACGTCCATGAAACTCATTAGAGCATGATCGGCTGTAGAGTCGGCTAGGCTGTCAATCTTTGGAAGTGGATAACTATCCTTCGGACATACCTTGTTCAGATCTGTGTAGTCTACACACATCTGCCAGGTGTCATTCGGCTTTTTAACAAGAACAATGTTTGCTACCCAATCCGGGTAGTAGCATTGCCGGATGAACCCAGCATCTAGCAACTTTTTGACCTCGGCGACTACCGCCTGAGATCATTCCTCTCCATGATTCCTCTTCTTTTGCCTAACCGGCTTCTTTTTGGGATCAACAGCGAGTTTGTAAACTGTAAGATCTGGGCTGACGCCTGGCATATCTACCCCCAATTTCTCAAAAGCGACCGTCCCAACCTTAACGGTTCTGTCAATCGGCTAACGTCTAGGACGACATCAACGCTCTCACCAGCCGACTGGGGTCGGAGGTCATCCGACCATTCACCGGTCAGTGATTGCTATTGTTTTTCTTTTTTGACGGGTGCCAGTTGGTCCGCCTTTCTCTTTTTACCGGTTGCCCTTGGAGCCGGCACTGCATGATCGCAGTTATCCAGTCCAATGTGTTCTTCGCCATGACCGGCTGAAGCCGTAGTTGGTTTGACGCCTGAGAGGTAACACTCTCTAGCCGTCTTTTGGTCCCCATTCAGGGCACCCACTGCCCCCATCATCCTTATGAAACTTGATCAGCATGAGAGACAGGATGATGACAGCCTTGGACTCGTTGAGGGTGGGGAGACCAAAAATCATATTGTAGGCGGTCAGCTCCTCAACAACAAGGAACTTGACGACCATGTGTCGCCCTTGCCCCTTTTCTCCCAGCCGGATGGGTAGGTCAATCCTTTCCACCGGATGCACCACCCGTCCCCCAAAACCGACTAAGGTGTGAGGAGCCTCATGCATGTTGCTGGGCTTGTATTTGAGCTTTGTCAAGCGCTGATAGCTTATCAGGTCAGACAAGCTCCCAGTATCAATTAAGATCCGGCCAACTCGTTGGTTGGGAACCTTACATTCGATGACGATGGGATCATCGTGAGGCCGTCTGACCTGGCCTCGGTCCTTTTCAAAAATAAGGACTTCAAGAAAGGTGTCTTTCAACGCCTGGCCCTCATCTACTGAGCTGACCAGCTTCCTGATATTGTCCTTGGTACCCCGAATGGTAGGACCTTCACCCGCAAAACCGCCTGCTATAGTGAAGACTGTTTCTTCGTCTGTTTCAGAGTTAGCAGCCGTTGGTTTGGACAGGTGTCCCTTGTTTGTCTTGGGGGTACCCTTGGACTTGGGTAAGTAGGACTTCAGAGCCCCGTCCTCAGCCAGACGGTCTAACAGCCGCCTGAGGCTATAGCAACCGTTGGTGTCATGACCAACATCCTCATGGAATTGGCAGTATCTGCTCTTGTCCCAGTTATTGACGGGACTTTTCATTGCTGCCGGTTTTTCAAGAGGCAACCGGTCTTTGATCTCCATGAGGATGGAGGAGCAGTCCTTGGTGAACTTGTACTTTAGGATGTACGGTTCTGATTTTCTTCTGCTCTTCTTGGCCGGCTAACCAGATCGGTCTGCCGCCCAGACTTCTTTTCTTTTCTTTTCTTCTTTCTTTGCCAGCTGGGATGACCGGATCTTTCTCCGTTCGGACTTTTTAGGGTCCGACGGGTGTCTCACGGTACAAAGCTTTGTTGCGTGTATATAGGCTTCAGCTTCCATTAATGCCTCTTGGAGGGTGGCAACCCTCTTTCTGACCAAGTCGAACTTGAAGGTGAACCCGTCCTTCAGACCCTTGAAGAAGTCTGTGTAGGTAACGTCGTCAGACAGCCCTTGAATCTGAATTCTCATCAGATTGAACCGCCTGAGATAGGACCTAAGTCCCTCCTTCTCTCCCTGCTGTATGGCCCCAAGATCGAGGCTCGTTTTCTTGGCAGGGATGTTCATTGAGAAGTTCGACCTAAACAAGTACGCCAAAGTTCCGAAGTTGTTGATGCATCCGGCTGGCAGGTTGCCAAACCATCGTTGGGCTATGCCCTTCAATGTAGCTGGGAAGCACCGACACCAGGCGGCATCATCCAACCCCTGTAAGTACATGAGGTTGGTATAGGCCATTAGGTGATCTTCTGGGTTGGCGGTACCGTCATACGCACCGACCAACACATTTTTCACCTTAGCCGGCTGTGCCGCCTCGGTAATTTCCCTGGAGAATGTCATTGGTTGTTCCCCAAGGTTAAGCAGCCGGAGCTGCTAGTCCATAAGTTGGATCGGTTGAGCCGCTTGACCCCCGAAGAGGGCCGGTTGCATGTATGGAGATCCATATGGCATGTACGGTGACCCGTACTGTACCAGCTGGATAATTTTAGGACAAGAACGTGCGGACAGACCGCACGACTAACTCCCTTTGTCTGATTCCGAATGCTTTATGAAAGCATTTCGGAAGCTGTCTGGGTAGGTCGACGTAGAAACCGACGCGGACAGCTATAGACTTCTCTTTTTTCCTGGATAAGCATCCGAGCATCAGAGTAATTCCTCTTTGATCCATCCGGCTGTACTTGCCGGATGGGCTTCCTTTGCCCGGTCTCAGGGAAACGAAGCTTTGAGACGTCAATCGGGGACCCATCTGCAACCTTTGGTTTCGGGGTGAGGGGTAGGCACACGATCTTTCGGCGCCTTCTTCCCGAAGGACGGGAGCTTCTTAGCCGGCTGACCCTTATGAGGGCTAGTGGACTTGTTTAGGAGGCTCTTAATCTTGCCCTTGAAACATGTCATGAATTTCATGAGTTCGTTTCTCGTGACGGGAGCAGCACCTTCTGCCGCCTTGGTTGTCCCAGTTGGGCTGCCGGTTGGGCTGCCTAGAGCAATTTGACTTCCACCCCACTTCTTTATTTCTTTGGAGCGGATGTGTTTTGTTCTAAAGGACCTGTCTGGGGCCACATAGGTGTCGATTTCATAATCGTCACCACTTTCTTGGTCCGTATGGACCTCAGGCTCGACCGTAGGCCGTTTGCCTTCATTCGTTGGTATAGTTTCAGAAGCCATCTAGGAAGTACTCTCCCCACAGACGGCGATAAATGTTTCGGGGGTTTTTGATGTGTCCTGCGGGAGAGTTACAATTCCTAGTATGTGCAACTGACGCCTGTACCTGCAAAACCACGAAGACTCCGTTTGGTGGGAGCTCCGCCTCCAACGATCAAGTCAGTAATGTACAGGAGGTAATAAGTGAAAAAGTAGTAAATACTCCTCGCTAATAAGGAGGATTCTGCAATTAATATTGCTCGGGAGTTGTGTTCGTATTTATGGATGCCCAATAAATGAGGTCTGACCCACTATTTATAGTGGGGAGACTAGAACCCCATCTAGGGTTCAAAGGACACGTGTCAACAGGGGATTGGCACCCTGTTGACCTATGGCTGGCTGCCACGTGTCGCAAGGCCATTGGGCCACGTGTTTAGGGTAATTTTTACCCTAAACAATTATCAAACAACAACAATATGAATCAACATTATCAATTCAATCATCAACCCAAAAACAAAACTACTACTATTCACAAATATGGAAAAATCAAATTCTCATGCAAATGTAGTAAAACAAGTTCAATAAAGAGTAGAGAAAATGATTATACCATACAAGAAGCAAGATTAACCAATTTTCAAGCACCAATTCACCAAAATTTCAAAATCCCCAATTTGGTTTTCAATGGAGATTGAAGCTTGAAGAAGAAGAAATGGTGAGTAGTAGTATGGAAAATGGGTAATTTGAGGAGAATTATGTGGGAAATGATTGACTTGTGAGATTGAATGATGTTTAGGAAGAATTGGGGGTTTGTAGTTTAAAGTGAGAAAGAGTAGGGGTCGAAAGATAGGAGTATGAGAAATGAGGAAAAAGGAGGAAAGAAAAAAAAATAGCACGGTCTGCTATCGGGTGCGCTCGTGCGTGGCACCTGCGTGCCCACGCACGGGTTGCGCAGGTGATCGCACTTGTTTCGGGGTTTTTTCATGTCCTGCGGGAGAGTTACAATTCCGGGACTGGTATCCGTGCGCCTGTACCTGCAAAACAACGGAGACTCCTTGTGGTGGGAGTTTCGCCTCCGACGGTCATGTTAGTACTTGTTTGTGGAGTAATAAATGCGAAAAAGTAAAGGTTGGGAGATCTGGTTCCTCTAGGGGAGGAGTGATCAGTGTGTTTAGGTTCTCTAGGTGAGAGTAATTAAATTGCTTAATCCCCTTAATGAGGATTAATTAGAGTATTTATAACCTTAGGAAACGTGCCAAATACTAGGTTTCGGTTAACCTAGGGCTGACTGGGCTTCCCTTGGAAATTGGGCCCAGGTGGCCATTTGGCCTATTTGGCATACGGAGGCCACGTGGCGTGACACAACTGGTCCATGGTGGTCAGATCAACTCCTGACACGTGGCAGGCTTCTATTGGCCCATGTAGTGGACACTTGGCAGAGCCTGAATGGTCCACTTGTCAGATGGTGATTGGTAGGGAAAAATCCCCTAATCAGCACTCAGATTTCTTCTCGGCATTTTATTGGAGCGGCCGCGATGCGATTTCTCGCGCCCACGCTCCCCTGTTTTTCCCTTATCTTCATCTTTTAACCCCTATTCTTGCTATCCTTAGTGCACCTAACTTTGATATATGGCTCGTGATCGTGCCACATTGAGCTCACATTCAACTACAACCACTGAGCAACCCGAAACGATGCTTCATGCTTGATCAATGAATACAAATTGCATGAAACCATCACATCATGAGAGTCATTATCTTGCATCACAAAAACCAGATCAAACTTGTTGAACTTCAACTTTTCTTTATTTTTCTAGGGATTTCTCTTTCTCTTCCTTGATTCCTTCTTCCTTGGAGCTATGAAATCCACACCATCTATGCTTGAAAAAATACTCTCGTCATCATTCAAAGCTAGTTCAAGCTATCCCGGCATCTCAATCACATTATTAAGCCTTGAGGTCTCTTTCTCGCCTTCACTAACCAACTTGCTATCAACACTTATATATATGAGCATTATCACAACCTTCAAGAACATCATTAGTAGACGACGCAAAAGTGCAAGCAATGTCATTCAAGGGAAACGAATTAATACACATAATTCCTTGCACATAAGATAGAGACTCATGCATGGGCTTGAGTTTGAAACTAGCTGTATCATTACCAACACACAAAGTTATAATGCCTCCTTTCACAGTTATCAAGGCACCCAAAGTTTCTAGGAATGATCTCCCTAAAATGATAGGTATGTTGTCATCTTCCGCAATCTCAAGCACAATGAAATCAACGAGGAATGTAAAGTCACCTATCTTGAGGGGAACATCCTCAATTCTACCCTTAGGGAACTTAATGGAACGGTCGGCCAATCGAAGGGTCATGTTGGTAGGGAGGAGCTCACCTAGCTTAAGCTTCTTGAAGACGGAGTATGGCATGATGCTAACACTAGCACCAAGATCACAAAGAGCATTTTAGAACAATTTACCACTGATATTGCAAGGGAAGAAAAAATTACCTGGGTCTTTCATCTTCTTTGGTATGTCATTGTGGATAAGAGCACTACAACACTCCCCAACCTTCACCGAATCAACCTCATTACACTCTCTTTTGCCACTCAAGATTTCCTTAAGGAACTTAGAATAGTTTGGCGTTTATTTCAAAGCATCGGTGAAAGGAATAGAAAGATGAACCTCCTTAAGCATATCAATAAATCTCCCAAATTGATCATCATTTTTGTTCCTCAAGAACTTTTGGGGGTAAGGAATTTTGGGTTTGACCACTTCATCTTGCACACTCTCTTTCTTCTTGGCTTTCTCATTACAACTCTTACCCTTCTTGCTAGAGATATCATGCTCATCATCATTAAATGAATCACTCACCCTCTCATTTTCATGACTCTTCTTAGAAACACTCTCTTCAAGGACCTTACCACTCCTAGTGGTGATAGAATAGACCGGTTTCTTAGGGTCAAGAACTTGGGAAGGTAGAGAAGAAGGGCTAGCACTTTCTTTCAAAGCATTGTCTAGTTGGGTGATTTGGGTCTCAAGCATCTTGCTTTGGGTCATCATCTCATTGAACTTTTTTTCACTTACACCATGTATGTAGTAAGAAACATAGTTTGGTTCTCAAAAATCTCTTGAAGATTGGACCTAGATGATGAAATTGTCGCAAAGTAATTATCACCTTGAGCTTGGGTCTTTGGAACAAAACCGGGTGAAGGGCCTCTTTGTGAATTGTTTTGAAAATTGCCCCTACCTTGGTTGTTCCAATTACCTCTAGCTTGATTTTGGTTACCATAACCTTGATTTTGATTTCCAAAGTTTTGGTTATGATTACCAAAGCCTTGGTTTTGATTTTGGTTACTATAACCTTGAATGTTATAGTTTCCAAGGAAACCTTGGTTTCCTTGGTTCCTATAACCACCACCTTGGTTATAGTTGTCAAAATTTCCTTAGTTGTGGTAATTCCTATTGTCGTGACCTCTTCGATTATTAAACCGTGATCCATTATTATTAGACACAAAGTTCACATGCTTATTCTCATTACCATCAAAGTCATCACAACCATCCGAATAAAGAATTAGGGAAATTAGAAGCATCATGATCATATGAACCACAAACATCACAAAACAAACATCCACTAGGTATGTTATTGGAAGTAGAAGGAAGAGTAGGGTTAGAAGATGTACCTCTCCCCTTATTTTGGGAGGGAAGAATGGGCGCTTGTGAAGAAGCACTCTCCAATTTGGCTTTGATAGAAGTCATCTCCTTCCTTAGCATAGGTTTGAAATTTGGGATGACAAATTGTTGATGGAATTTAGATGATCGACGGAATAAACTGTGGAGCCACTCTTGCATGTAGACTCTCTCTCACCATCTTGCCAATCCATGTAGTGTCTTACCACGTCCTCAATAATGTCTACAACCTCTTCATCCATCCTATTCATAATAGGGCCTATTGCTCCCGCATCAAGGCATGACTTGCCTTAAGGGCTCAATCCACCATAGAAAATTTGAATCACTTGATAGGTGGGAATTCCATGATAAGGGCACTCTCTTTGGTACTCCTTGTACCTCTCCCAGTATTCTTAGAGACTTTCACTAGGCTTTTGCTTGAAACTTTGAATAAGAGCACTAGCTTCCGCAGTATTCTTTTGGGAGTAAAACATTGACAAGAATTCCTTTGTGACCTCATCCCAAGTTCTCAATGAATTTGGCTTCACCTCCTTATCAAACCATTCCAAAGCTATCCCTATGAGTGAGAAGGGGAAGAGCTTTAGGCAAATGAACTCTTGAGAAACTCCGTTCACCTTGATGGTGTTGTAATACTTTTCGAATTCTTTGAGGTGATTTAGAGGGCTCTCATGCTTAGCTCCACTAAATTGTCGCCTCTCTATCAATGTGATCATTGTGGGTCGGATTTCAAAGTCGTTTGCAGGAGTGGTGGGTGGTGCTATACCGCTTTCAAACCTATATGCTCCGAGTATCCCTAACTCCTTCAAGGCAACTCTTGAATTTTTGCTCATGATTGCTTGTTCTTCTTCTTGTGGCACTTCCTCTCTTGATGAATTGGGGCTCAAAGATCTTGAAGCAACTCTCCTTCTAGAGATTGTCCTTTTAATTTCAAGATCAAAAGGCACTAGTGGACGAGCACGTGCACTATGAAAACAATCTTAAAAGAAACAATTAGTAGCACGGCTACAAATGTAGCCTAAAGAGAAAAATATTTTTGTCTTTTCAAATAAAATGAATTAGACTCAACAACTATAGCTAACAAACTACTCCATTCCCCAACAACAGTGCCATTTGATAGAGGATTTAAACACGTCGTTTATACTCAAAACCTTATCAATAAAATTTGTAAACACTCGACTAATCCTAAACAAAGTATAGGGGTAAGTAAAGGGTTGAACCACGAGGAATGGGAGAAAGGTTACTAGAGCCTAGGGTCAAGCTACTTCGAAGTATAGGAAGGTGTTGATTGTGTAAGATATGGTCTCAAGCAACTAAATCACTAAAGAAATTCAATATCAAAAGCACTAGGGATTAGGATACACATGTAATCAAGATAGGAATGCTAATTGATAAGTCGTGTTTTGTGTATGTTATTTGGTTGGTTTTTAGTTAGTTTTGTTAGTTTAGTTGAGTATTTAAGTCCGTTTTGGCGTATTTTGCTCTACTTTGGATAATCCGATGCTTTTATGGGTAGTTTTGTTGTTTTTGATGATTTTTAGGAATAATGGAGCTAATTTGGATGAATTATAGATCCACGAAGAAAGTCAAAGCCCATGGAGATTGGAGATTGAAGAAAAGTCAAGAAAATGGCATTTTAGAGGTAGGCACGGCCGTGCCTCCCCATTAGGCACGTCCGTGCCCCTGTGCCAGAAGCTGCGCCAAAGGAAGACCCTAGGCACGTCCGTGCCTAGCAGAAGAGGCACGTCCATGCCTAGGTAAAGAAGCAGGCACGTCCGTGCCCAGCATCAGGCACGTCCGTGCCCAGCATCAGGCACGTCCGTGCCTGGAAGACAGAAACTGCAGCGATTTTGCTACGTAAAGAGGCACGTCCGTGCCTATGAAGAGGCACGTCCGCGCCTATGAAGAGGCACGTCCGCGCCTCTTGGGATTCTTGTCCGCCAAGGCTTAGCCGTTTTTCTTATCTTTTTTAGGCTCATATAAATACTTTTTAGCCTTGTTTTTCTTGAATATTCATTAAGCCATATTATATTTTATTAAGAACTAGTTCTCCATTTATTTTTCTAAGTTTTGTAATTCAAGATTCAAGATTCAAGGTTTCTACCTTCAATTTTATTCAAGATTTGATATTTATTTTTCATCCTTTGTTATTTAATTATGTTTTCATTATTTATTATTGTTTTTGTTTCTTTAGTCATGTGTGAGTAGATTCCTTAATTCAAGATCTAGTGTAGCCCTATTATTATTGATGCATGAATTAAATCTTTAAATTCTTTAACAACTTTAACAATTGAATTGCTAAATTGATTGTGATTATGCCAATTCTAGGTTAGACGTAACTATAGTATTGCGATTATTCCATTGTTTTTATCACAGCGAGAGTTGGGTATAAACGGATTTGAGTAAATTAATTTAGGGTTTGATTCTTAACACGAGAGTAGTTAAGTTTGATAATTGGGAAGTGAGAGTAACGTGTTTAATGTCTCTAATATGCATGATACCATGAGAATAGGATTGATTGTATGTTAGGGAAGCCATTGATACTCGAGAGAGATCCTTGGTAATTATTAGGGTTTACTTTTCCCCGTTCGATTGAAATCGTATGTTAAGGGTAGAATTACAATTGCATCAATAATAGTTGTGGTGAAGCTAGATCTTGGATGTTTTTAATTGCTTGATTTAATCATCTTAATTAGTTTATTTTTGAATTTTCCCTATATTTTAGACCCTTAGTTATTGATTATAATTGATTCTTTCTTAGTAGAAATTCGAGTCTATTTAATTATTTTTGAACCTTAGTCTCTTGGGATCCGACCCTTGCTTGTCAGTCTACATTAGTATTGGTCTGTTAGGTTATTTTTGATAGGTACGCCACACGCCTACCAAATTTTGGCGCCGTTGCCGGGGACTAATGGTTTCATTAGATTAATTGTGATTCATTTTTGCTAGCCTTATTTCGTTGCTTCGGCTATTTTCTCTTGTGTTTTTGATACTCTTTCTCGCAGGTCGCCGAAGGTGGTCGCCATGCTATCATGGGACATCGACAGATTTGTGACCGCTCTCTGGGTCTCATAGACGTCCCTCCTCAAGTCACCCATGCCTAGCACAACATGGTTGAGATCGGCCCTCATGGAGGTTATTTGCTCCTCCAAAGTAGGTGGGGTGTGGGTCTCCTGATGTGGATCATCCTGCTCCATGTGGGCATGTCCCTCACCACCATATGCTTGCCCCTGTTGTTTCGGGGTTTTCTGATGTCCTGCGGGAGAGTTACAATTCCGAGACTGGAACCGGACGCCTGTACCTGCAAAATAACGGAGACTCCTGAGAGCTCCGCCTCCAACGGTCAAGTTAGTACCTGATTAAGGAGTAATTAATACGGAAATTAAAGTAATAAGACCTCTCTAGGTGAGAGTGTTTAATGTTGGTAATCTGCTTTGTTAGCGAGATTAGCCGGTTATTAGTGTTCCGTAATGTTTCTGTTCTTCTCTGTTCTTCAGGTGAGATTAATTGCTTGATCAATTGCCTCTCAATTGCTTGATCCCTTTTAATGAGGATTAATTAAGTATTTATAGTCTTGAGATGCGTGCCACTCTCTAGGTTTAGGGTAAACCTAGGGCTGACCGGGCCTCTAGACAGGATTGGGCCTTGTTGGCCGGTTTTCCCATTTGGCATGGGTGGACACGTGGCGTGCCTCGATTGGTCCGTAGAGGACGTATCTGTGATTGACACGTGGCAGGCTCCTA